ATACCCTCAAAAATACTACTCAAACCCCGTGCAAAATACATTCACATTATGCCCCTTTTTTACAGGCTATTACACAAATTATCTTAACAATTGTGACAACACATTTGTAGGTGTCACAGGAGCAGCCAAAACTGGAGCATTACACATCAGAGCCTTTACACTCTCAAATGCCTTCTGACACTCTGAGGACTGAAGACATGTTATACTGAGGGGAGCAACAACTGTAGAAAAATTCCTACAGAAACACCGGTAATAACCCACAAGCCCCAAAACACGCATGAGTGCCTTTTTAGTTGGAGGTGGGACATAGTAATTAATAGCCGGCAGTGAATAACACATTCTCCCTTGCCCCACTACACGGCCCATATAAGTGACTGTAGCCTTCGCAAACTCGCACTTGGCCAGATTAACAGTCAACTATGCGTGAGCTAAGCAGTCAAACAACCTCTTGATGCGGTCAAGGTGACTATCCCAATCATTTGAAAAAATAACCACATCATCCAGATACACAGAACACCCATCCAAATCTCCAACAACCCTGTTCATCTGAAAGGTCACTGGGGCATTCCGCAAACCAAACGGCATCACTGCATATGAATACAAACCAGTAGATGTAATAAATGCAGCAATCTCTCATGCTCTTTCTGACAAAGGAACCTGTCAGTAGCCCTTCAATAGATCAAACTTACTCACATACCTAGCAGACACCACTTGGTTAATGCAGTCTTTCATACGAGGAAGTGGAAAATAGTCTGGTTTTGTAACATTGTTTACCTTCCTGAAGTCTGTACGAAATCTGGGAGTGTTATCAGACTTTGGCACAAGCAGACAAGGTGACGCCCAACTGGAACTGGAGGGCACCGCAATACCGTTCTCCAGCATATTCTTAACCTCAGCATCCAAATGTTTACGTTTCTCCGGCTCCGAAATCTGCGAGTGTTATCAGACTTTTGCACAAGCAGACAAGGAGACACCCAACTGGAACTGGAGGGCACCGCGATACCATACCAACTCATTGTGAGAAACACACCAGGGAACATCAGGACATGTGACATCATGCTGCACAGAAATATCATTTTCAATGGGACTTGCTCTATCTGACTCTGCCTGTTTCATTGCACGTGTCATAGCGCAAGCCCTGAACACCTCTTGAAACTCAGTATTATTGTCATCAGGCCCACTGCTCACCAGGGGAACTGGAGCAACGATAGCCGGGGTTGCAACATCAGCCCACTCCCGACTACCTGCTATATCATTACTCAAAATGGTAACACCAACCACTGGCAGAGCTGAATGAATAACAGTCTCTCCTCCAATGGCCTCGTTTATGGCAATAATTACAAATTTTGTCTGGGACATACACACTGCGTTCGTTCTGCTCTCGGCCAAAATTTCTTCCTGAATTAACAGACCACACACCTCCAGCAGAGGGATTTTCTCTGTGTCCAAAACTCAAACTAGGACATCCAATGCCTCCACCATGAGTCAAAACATAATCATCAGCTAAAGCTGCAGAACATGAACAGTGAAAACACAATTACCCCCAAAATGTCACTGGCGCTGGCGGATCGTGAAAGGGAGCTCACGGGAAAAACACGGGGAGGTGGACTCTGTTTCTATATAAACGAAAGGTTGGTGCACAGATCAACGAGTCAAAGCTGGAGTTACAGGCCTGCATTGACTGCACTGACTGGAGTGTTTTTGAGGCTGCAGCCACTGACCTGGACAAACTAACTGACACTGTGACATCCTACATCAGTTTTTGTGAGGACATGTGTGTGCTGACTAAAACCTTCCACACATACAACAACCAAAAACCCTGGTTCACAGCGAAACTCAGGCAGCTTCGTCAGACCAAAGAGGAGGCCTTCAGAAGTGGGAACAGAGTCCTGTACTACCAGGCCAGGAACACTCTGACTAAAGAGGTCAAAGCTGCAAAGAGGTGCTATGCTGAAAAGCTACATAACAGCTTTGCAGCCAACGACCCTGCCTCAGTGTGGAGAGGCCTGCTGACACTCACTAACTACAAGAGACCATCCCCCAACACTGCTGGTACTCAACGACTGGCAGATGAGCTGAATGGTTTGTAGGTTTGAGAAGCCCAGTCACACCTCTCCCCGACTCCAACAGCATCTTCAAACAATCACCTTCCCCCTCTGCCCTCTCACCTGCACTCAAGATCTGTGAAGAGGACATGAGCCACCTCTTCCAAAGGCAGAAGATCAGGAAGGCTCCTGGACCTGACGGTGTCTCCATCCTGCCTGAAAATCTGTGCAGACCAGCTGGCCCCCATCTTCACTCAGATCTTCAACAAATCACTGGAGCTGTGTGAAGTTCCCTCCTGCTTCAAACGCTCCACAATCATCCCGGTCCCAAAAAAACCCTCCATCTCTGGACTAAATGACTACAGGTCTGTCGCCCTGACATCTGTAGTCATGAAGTCCTTTGAAAGACTGGTGTTGGCCCACCTGAAGGACATTACAAGCCCCCTGCAGTACTGTGCAGTTTGCCTACAGGGCTAACAGGTCTGTGGATGATGCTGTGAACTTGGGTCTGCATTACATCCTGCAACACCTCGACTTTCCAGGGACACATGCTAGGATCCTGTTTGTGGACTTCAGCTTGACGTTCAACACCATCATCCCGGACATCCTCAGCACCAAACTCACCGAGTTCACTGTGCCAGCCTCCTCCTGACTAACAGGAGTCAGCAGGTGAGGCTGGGAAACATCACATCCAGCACCCGTACTATCAGCACTGGCGCCCCCCAGGGGTGTGTGCTCTCCCCACACAGGTGGGGATTAGCTGGGTCTCTGGTGCGGTCAGAACAACCTGGAGCTTAACACGCTCAAAACTGTGGAGATGACCGTGGACTTCAGGAGGAGCCCCCCAGTCTGCTCCCCATCACCATACTCAACAGCCCTGTGTCTGCTGTGGAATCCTTCAGGTTTCTGTGTTCCACTATATCCCAGGACCTGAAGTGGGAGCCCAACACTGACAGCATCATCAAGAAGGCCCAGCACCAGCTCAGGAAGCTCAACCTGCCTAAGGAGCTGCTGATCCAGTTCTACACAGCCATCATCCAGTCTGTTCTCTGCACCTCCATCACTGTCTGCTTTGGATCTGCCACCAAAAAGGACAGGAGCAGACTACAACGGACAGTCAGGACTGCAGAAAAAATAATGGGTGCCAACCTGCCCTCCATTCAGGACTTATACATTTCCAGAGTCAGGAAACTGTACGCCAAAACCAAAAGACACAGAAGCAGTTTCTTCCCACAAGCCATCACTCTGATGAACAGCTGATTTCTGACTCACAGTGTCAGGAACAATTCCTGTGCAATAACCCAGTAACTCTGTCTCTAATCAGCCACCTGTTTACTGGTTTCCACTTATTATTTATTTATTCACCATTCTCTATTTCAGCGCTGTTCATACTATGTCATATTGTATATACTATATACCAATACACCTACCTCAGGTCATAAGGTCATAGGTCTTGTTTATTATTTCCAGCATCCTTTGCACTATGCTCCCATCACACTGTGTACATGTATGCATGTATGTGTACCTGTATATCATATCCACCATCAACATGTACATAATGAGAATAATAGTTTACTCTTGCATCCTTTGCACTCTGATCACTGCACTATTTGTCAATATGTCTATATTGTTTTGTTCATAGTGTGTATATTAGTGTTGTCTATACTGTAGTTTGTGTCTGATTTTATTTTATTATTATTGTGTTATGGTATTTTTTGTATGAGTAAGCACATCGTGAGCAATGTACAATCCTGAGTTAAATTCCTCGTATGTGTACACATACCTGGCAATAAAGCTGATTCTGATGAATATGATGTTTACCCAGAAGACATAACTTCACCAAATCAGCAATTTCACAGTTAACAAATTCCACATTCCAAAATAAGACCATACTTTCAGATAAAGAGACCGAGATATTATGAGATTCCCATATTAATACAAAACTGTGACCAAAAGGCATATGAAAAAGTACACTTGTAAAATAAATGAAAAACGACTCTGTCTCTCATTCACAGAAAGAACATAAAGGGGAGACATCAGATCTAAATCTTCATTCATCTTCATTTTGTTGATGAAAAAAAAACGATTAAATTCTGTCCAAACCGTCCTGTTAAAATTCGGGTAAACTGCTTTCCAGCGATGAAATGCAGTGGGACACTGACTACCAAGAGAGGTAACAGCTGTCCTCAAGAATTCCCACCAAGCCACAAACGCGGGATCACCCCTGATAAAGATTCATAGCCTATATCAACGTAGCTTTAATGAGGGAAAACACCCGAGTAGATATGCTGTTAACTACTTTGGAAAACAAACTGAGACCGAGATATTTCAACTCTCTTTGGTTGGACAAACTGCTTATGTGTACCCAGGTCCCCTTTATCACTAAACAGTTCAGAAATAAACACAATAGACCGGTCCTTGAAAAATATGGTCTTATTTCTACATTTGTCATCAGTTGAAAGCGGAACGAAAAGCTTCCGCACTTCCGCTATCGGAACTAAACTGTGACATCCAACAGGAAGTAAACAATACTAGCGCCAGCGTTAGCCGTATTTAATGAATTAGCTGGACGTTACTGTTGTCGTAGCTCCGCTAATTATTTCATTTGTAAATAAGCAACAATGTCTTCAGTTGAGAGTTTGTCAACGAGCGACTAACTGCTGCTGCTGCAGAAATATTCAGAGTTTTTAAAAACACTATCGTCGAGTACGAGGAAGAGATCGTTCGTCAGCGCAGACTGATGGATATCGTTTGGAAACCCAAAATACAGTTATACAGGATAGGTGAGTAAAACTTCATTATATAAGTAACACAAAACAGAGGACATATATTTATATACAATCGTAACTGTTTAATATACTGTATACTGGGACTCATTTCCTCACGTCTCTGCATTCTTTCTTTGCCATCACAGTAGTAAGGTTAGCCTGTTCCTTTTGTTCTCTGTCCCTCCAGAGCTCCCACAGCAACATGTCTGTAAGGAGGAGGAGGAGGAGGAGGAGGAGGTTCTGGCTGACCAGCAGCTCTGTATTCAGGAGAGGATCCCCGGTCTGGACCAGGAGGACCCACAGCCTCCACAGGTTAAAGAGGAACAGGAGGAACTCTGTACCAGTCAGGAGGGAGAGCAGCTTGTAGTGAAGCAGGAGACTGACACCTTTATGTTGACTCCTACTTATGAGGAAAGTGACCACAGTGAAGCAGAACTGAAAAGTGACCACCAGCCTCACACGGGTAAAAACTCTTTCACATGTGACACATGTGGAAAAGGTTTTCAGTACAAATCAGTATTTCAAGAACACCTGAGAATTCACACAGGTGAGAAGCCGTATTCTTGCAAAACATGTGGGAAAGAATTCAGAACTAGCAGTTTATTGAAAGGCCACACAAGAACCCACACAGGTGAGAAGCCGTATTCTTGCAATACATGTGGGAAATCTTTTAGCCGAAGGGGTGGCTTGATAGTCCATTTCAGAACCCATACAGGTGAGAAGCCATACTTATGCAAGACCTGCGGGAAAAGATTCAGTGACACTTCAGCATTTAAACAACATAAGAGAATCCACACAGGTGAGAAGATGTATTGTTGTGAAACATGTGGGAAAGACTTCAGAACTAGTGATCACTTGCAACTCCATATAAGAACCCACACAGGTGAAAAGCCGTACTTGTGCAAGACATGCGGGAAAAGATTCAGTGACCCTTCAGCTTTGAAAAGACATAAGAGAATCCACACAGGTGAGAAGGCGTATTCTTGTGAAACATGTGGAGGTTCTTTTAGCCAGAGGGATTACTTGAAACTCCACATGAGAACCCACACAGGTGAGAAGCCGTACCTTTGCAAGGCCTGCGGGAAAAGATTCAGTGACACTTCAACATTTAAAAGACATAAGAGAATCCACACAGGTGAGAAGGCGTATTCTTGTGAAACATGTGGAGGTTCTTTTAGCCAGAGGGGTTACTTGAAACTCCACATGAGAACCCACACAGGTGAGAAGCCGTATTTTTGTGAAACATGTGGGAAGGTTTTTACATTTTGTGGTCAATTGAAAACCCACATAAAAAGAGAACACACAGGTGAGAAGCTGTAGCTTTGCACAAAGAAAAGATGTGTTGATGCATCTATTTGACACTGCACAGAAGGCAGACAAGAACTCAAAGAAGTGAAGAGCTGCATAAGTGCAGAACTTGTGCTAAAAGTTTTGAAAACACCTGAGGATCAATATACAGAGGAGAAAAACACTTTTGCAATAGCTGGATCTCTCAATGAATTTAAAATGTTTTCTATAATATGAGGTGTCAAAAGTGTACCTTCATATGACTGTATTATATTTCTATTAGTAATAGTATTTCTTTGAAACAATTGTAATCTCTAAAATGGAGACACCTATTTAGTTTCACACTGAGTGCACTGTAGTGGCAGTTAAATTAATGGATTGATCATGATTGTTGTTGGTTTTGCTAAATGTCTTTTTATGAAGTATCTATCAATCATTTTTAGCTTAAATTTAAAAGGGCTTTAATTCATCTACATCAAGTAGTATTTTTTTGGTTCTATATGAAGCTAACACATCTTTGAAAGAAGTCAGGTTGAACATTTAAGCGTTTTTGACATCTGTGATGGAAATGGTAAATGTCTTTGTGAAAGAAATAAAGAAAATGGGAAAGTTTTAGTTGTCTTTGTGATATTTATTAAAATACTGTAGAGTAAATTAGTTGTTTCAGCTGAAAGTGCCACTGTAGCTCGTTGTACAGAGCAGACGTCCACTTATTAAAATGTCAGTGGTTCGATCCCCGTCTCCCCGGTCTGTAAGTTGGAAGTGTCGTTGGGCAAGGTACAGAACCCCAAATAGCTCCTGATGGCTGTGTCAGTCTCACAGTGTTGGTCAGTGTCTGAATGTGACTTTTCTTTTTTCTATCCTGTCCCACCCAGCAGCCTGTTATTGGATTGGTATGACTTTGATCACTGTATTATAGTATTTGACAGAACACTAGAGTTGAAATTTTGTACAAAACTTTTCATGCTCTAACACGTCCATTATCATCGGTAAAATGATAAAGTCCAAATCCCTTTAGACCTCCACTCCTCTATAGATTTTCTATTAAGCAGTATGTATGTTATTCCACACTGGTGTGTTATGTGGTGTGAAGTTGTCTTTATATTAGGGCTGGGCATGTTAATGCGTTAACGCATTAATTAATTAACGCCGACAACTATTTTATCGCAATTTATTATTATTTTGAAAGTCTGTTGCTCACTGGGTCTGAATAAACATACAGTCAAACCATGGGTCACAGTGGGGGTGGATGTTGATCAGCCTGCAAGTCACCCACCCAAAGAAGCAGTGGAGAGAGGCTTCGGCAGACAACGCTGGATGCAGCGTGTGGGAGAAGTCTATCCATCATCAACCACTTATCCTGCGTACAGGGGGAGCTGGAGCCAATCCCAGCTGACATCGGGCAAAAGGCGGGGTACACCCTGGACAGGTCGCCAGTCCATCGCAGACGTGTGGGAGAAGTAGCCTAGATAAACAAAAGCAAGCGATCAAATACCATAGCGAAGTGGATAGCTACATGCTGCATGCTGATTAGTATTGGAGAAAATGTTGGTCTTGGGAACGTTTATAAAATCACAACGTAGTTGCTCTGTCCAGTGGGGTAGCTCTTCAGAAGTTTTTGAGCATTAAACATTTAATAATTTCCTGGATTCTGGAGACATTTTCTGCACCAATTTATGGTGGAAATGTCTTTATTTTTATAAAGGGAAGGACAAAATTTAGGTGGTAGGTGACAATTCAGAATATAAAAATATAATAGAATGTAATACAGTAATCAATAGATTATTCTTTTTTTTTTTTACCTTAAGTTACTTTTTTTTAAAAATAGAGATTTATTCTATATTTACACTGCATTGCAGGCTGATTGTGCAAACAATCCTTTTTCATAGTATTTTTATTTGTTAATTAACATTCCTTGGTACAAGCTATTTTTCAAAACATTTTTAACAAATGCTTTCAAAAAGTGGTGGCTACATGTCCCCAGTGTAAATGACCCTCCCTCCCTGCTCCCTCCCTACAGGTTGAGCTACTCCATGCTTACCACTTCACCGCTACTCTCCTGCTCTTTCTGTCCCTGGGCCCTGTCACTTTGTCACTCTGTTTAGCAGTCACCCGCCTCCTCCTTTGCCTGGCAGTGGCCACAGCTCTCCTTTACTCCTTCAAGTGCCTGTACTATGCCGGGTAGGCTACTGCAGTTGATGTTGAAGCTACTGCAGCCCGGGTAGCAAACATATTGGATATTTTCTCGCATTTGGTGAATTTTTTTTTCAAAAGAAGAACACAAGAAACAGCTCGAGCAGAGCGGGAGGGAGTGGGGGCTAGTAAGAGATGTGATTGGGCCAGCCCAATGTCAGTATAGGCCTATGCTTTATGGGCCGATCATTTTTAAAAATCAGTTAGGCCTATATAAACAGCCAAAATAATTTATGTTAAACCGACCCTAAAAGGTGCGTTCCCACCGAAAGCAAATCTAGCGTTCTGGGCGGCTTGCTTACATACAAAGTCAATGCAAAGACGCAAATTCCTGCGAATTCGCTCAGGGCGACGTGAATGAGGCGCAATTTTTCAACTTGGGGGAGAAATTCACTTGCCCTGTATGGGGTGTGGATTGTGCCACGGATAACCTACCAAAGGAGACCGTCGTGTGACAGCTACTTGTGGATAGGCTACTCAATTTTTTTCACTCAAACTAATTTTTCTTCTTTCTTTTTTTTGCCAGTTGCCAAACTAGCCAAGAGGTGCATTACCACCACCAGCTGGACTGGAGTGTGGAACCAGAGATTGTTTTCCCTACAACGAGTATAGGCCTACATGTACATGAAAAATTGAATTGAAAATTGAATGTTCCAGCCTTTTTGTCATCAAAAGTGTTGCTGTAAAAATACTTGAAAGCACAAGAATAAATTTTACACAAAAATATAAAAGGAGGGTAATCTTTTAAGCAATAAAATTATATGGATATAATATTTATCCAAGATATTAATCAACTTAATTATGTAAGTTATGTCAGCTGAGAGATTTGTACTTTAAAAAATATCAGTACTTTAGCTTCGTTAGTATGTCTTTGTCTAAATTTTTAAAAGGTTCTTTTGTAAATCAAACCAAAAGGAAGCGTGAAAAATACCTAGAAATATGTTCAATATATTCCCCTCTCAATCCCAAAACATTTACGGTTGTAAAATAAAAAGGAACTTTAAACGGGTTTGACCAGTGTTTAATGTATTCCTTGAGGCAAAATAGTTGCATCTAGTTTTAACCTCTCTCCTATAAAGTAAAATAATCCTCAAATTTCTACAAAAGACTCATCAGGCTACAAAAGGAGTGAACATTGGCCTTCTCATTGTTACAGAGGAAGTTGGAAGCAAGCAAGAGTTGCTAGCAAAAGGAATTATGGATGTTGCTGTTGCCCTGGAGAAACACATCATCATGTACAACCTCAAAAATTTTGCTAATACCTTTGAAATAGCATAGACTATCCCAAATAAGTATACATTTGCTTATACAAAACCTTTTCATCAGGAGCAGCAATTGTTCAGCCAAAGTTCATGGACACCGAAACCAGATGCTTCAAGGAAAGTGTAGAGACAACTTGGCCAAGTTAATGGCAGCTATCACTTTTTCCGTTGGTCTGCTTTAAACTTGTTTATACACTAACACTACATCAAAATTACAATTACAAAATAAATGTGTTATCTGTTACAGCTAGGCCTACTGGAAAAATATGTAATTAAATCACAATTGCTTATTAAAATATTTTTGATTACATTGGGGGTTACATCTGAATATTTTTTGTAAAAAGCTCAGCTATATGTTGAATAAATACACGCAAAGCAACAAAATGATTGTTGCTTTGCGTGTTTTTCAACATCAGATATGGGGGTGTGGTGTATAACATATGTGCATTTGACCATTACAGTTTAACATAATGCTCTGCAGCTGGTGAGAGGGACAGTGAACCCTTATGGGGAAGTAATGATTGATGGGTGTACCAAGAGTGAACCCTCCTATAGAACTTGACCCCTGACCCAGAGCTGGAGAGAGGCACAGTGGACCCAGTGTTAGGGGAAGTAATGATTGATGGGTGCAGTGTTAGGGGAAGTAGAGATTAGTGTGTATAAAAGAGATTAGTGTGTATGAAGGGACTGTACCCTTCTG